TATATATATATATATATATATATATATATATATATATATATATATATATATATATATATATATATATATAAATCCTGTGGTTCCTCTCGTACTGAGCGAGATTACTAGCTCAACAACGGACCACATCAGTAAACGGGGGTTGTTCAAAGAACCAAATTTTAACTACTGTATGTGCACATAATGAAATGTCATCTGAATGTTTAACACAATCCTTCAAACTACTTGGTTTTATAGGTTTCATTCAGCTTGTTTTCGATGTGATAATGGTCAATCATTTTAAATGTAGTTGTTTCAGAGTAAATTAATCTGATGCATTGAATGAGACATACGTTTGTTTGACATTTTGTTTGTTTTTTACTGTGTTATGCTCTGGTAAAATTGTCTAGAGTACTGGAAAGGAGCTATAGTAAAGTATTGTTGTTGTTATTATTAAGAAAAATGTGTATAAATGCTTAATTGTAATCAACAACAACAAGTGATATTAAGAATTAAGGCTGCACAATAAATTGATTTAGCATCGAGATGGCAGTGTTAGAATTATTAATTGAATTATAATCGAGCAGGAGCTACAGAATTATGTTTAATCATCGTATTTATATCGAATTTATGTAATTTATGCCCCAAAAAAATCTTTTTTTAGAGTTTTGTCTTGTTTCTAGTCCAAATATCTACATTTCAAAGCAAAACCAGATTATTTGACTTACTCCACCGGGCAGATAATTCGCTTGTTCAAAGGAAAATCTCTTCATTTTTCTGACAGTCAAAACAAAACAGTATTTTCACTCCTAAGAATGTTTTGATATTTGGACTATAGAAACGAGACAAAGTAAGAAAAGCCTTTTTTTCCATTGTGGTTTTTAATTTCTATACTTGAATACTGTTAGACTCCCCAGACAACTATCAAATAGTGCTTTTCTTGTGAAGCTGTATTGATATCGCAGCATTTAACGCAGAAAAATAAAATATAGCAATATTAGATTTCGTGCAGCCCTTCTAGAAATCATTCATGCCAAACAGGGCTTGTTCGGATTACCAAATCCAGCTCTATGATTTCTAATAATAGTGCTGCTCATCCTGCAGGCATCTGACAGAGAGTGTGTTGAAGAGTCATTCAGAACCGGCTGGTTTTCTGCGGATGTGTTAATGTTTGACATGCTGCCCGACTGCATTCTTGCCTTTACTACAGGATGGTTTCTGTGAGCTCAGTGAGTAAGAGACACACACACACACCACACCTGTCCTCGACACAAAGACCGTCCTGTCAACCAACTGGTTTCTCCGCTTGTGGATAAATCAGTGTGTATTTCCACCGCTCACAAAAACGTTTTTGATCCAAATAAGGCTGGGTTTGGCCTGGCTGCAGTTATTATTCTTGGCTTTGAGTCTAAACACTCCACGATTTGAAATAGTAAGGCTTTTACTGTCATATAGAAGTAATCGAGCTGAATCGATTCATACTCACAGCGCAGTCATTCAGGCCGTAGTGCAGCGTCCGGCTGTTGTGCATGTGGACGTCCATTCCTGATGTCGTTGGGGTCACGAGGTCAAGCACGAGGGGTCAGGGGTCGTGCGAAATGGTCTGGGCATTTCCACGCACCTGACTGACCTGTTTCACATGATGTACACACACCTGCAACAAACATGAATAGTGTTGAAACACATCCTTTAGGTTCAGCGAGACACGCTGACTACAGCCGGAAGACACAACTACACCAGTTCTTCATAAACATTCATGGTAAAACCATTAGGTAGTAATACATTTACTAAACAATAGTGATGCAAACAATAACACAACACACTAAAACGAGGAATGAACAATAACTTATATGTGTTAAAAGAGAAGTAGGATTGTACAAATATATATTTGTGTTTTTCCTATCACTTTTAATTACAATAATATTATTAATAACAACTAATATAAAATGAACGCTAATTCCTTGTTTATGTTGGGATCAACTGTGATATTATTATTATTATAAAAAGTGGTGTATTTGTACTCTTCTACGTCTCTTTTTATATTGTTTAAGTAAAATTTGCCTTATTTTAAATATGTTTTTTTAGTATGATCAGTCAGTTTATTTGTTTATGAATATTTTAATGACAAACACGGTTCCCTTTAGTTCTCAGTACGGTGTTATATTGACAAAACACGTCAAATTAATCACGATAAATATGAACTCCTAGTGGAAATAGATAAAAACAGCTGCTTTACAAACATTCTTAGTCGTATTATATTATATTATAGTTATAATGTAAAAAACAACAAACATATTCAGATATTCGCGATATCGCTGAGATTCTCCCAAACACGAGTAACGTTAACTCGAATACTTTGAAAACGGTTAACGGCTATAAAGAAATTGGTTAAACTTACCCAAACATCTTGAAATGGCTTAGTAGAGCAGGTTAAACGAATAAAGCCGGTGTCATCCCGTTTCTGTGCGTGTACAGTGCGAATAAATGGCTTTTAAATCACTGTACGTTACGCGTGAACTCGCTCATCTAGTTCTGCAGGAGCGCGTCTGTGCGCGCGACCCCTCCTTCGGAGCGCGGTCATGATGACGAGGACCTGGGGTTCCTCCTAAGGAAAACTTTGTAGAAAGATTACAACTTAAATAAAAAGTAAATATACAGAGAAAGTACAAATATTTGACTGTGGCAAATCTTATATAAATATATCTGTAGTGTCAGAAATGTTTCAGCCCTCACCCTGACTCAGTCACCACAGATGTGCAGGTAGCGCCATCTTGTGGACGCGCCTTATCACATTTTGAACATACGAAGTTATCAAAGGAAAATATTAACTATTATTGCAAATATACATCAATTATTGGCCATTTTATCATATTTAAAATAATTACATACAATTTAAATAAATTAATTACAGTGAAATATTATTAAGATTTTGGTTTTTCTTGCGTTTAGATGAGAAATATCAAAATGATAACCAAGTTTATTATTAATATTTTATCGAACTTATAATATTATTATATGTTCGTACTTCCTCTCGGCGGTGAGGTTATCATCACAATCTCTCCCATAATTATATAATTTTATTTCTATCATTTATATCATTAATGTAAGTGGTTCGTTATTATACCATCTCACTGATTTACATTATAAGTACGGTGAAATTCAGTTTTTTTTTTTGTTTTGTTTAAGATTTTTTTTTTGTTTAAAAAAAACATTTGTTTTAGATATACAATGGACTTTATTTTTCAGACTTTTCAGCGGGTGAGTGTGCAGTAGAGGACTGCTGTGAGAGCCGTTTTTGTATTGTAGTTCTTTGTTTGGCCACAGGGTGGAGTGCCGCTGAATCGGTAGGACTGACGCAGGTGTGTGTGATTAGGTGAGCGCTACGTTTTGACTGTGACTGAGCGTGGAAAAGGAGTTTGGAAAACCATCCTATGGGGTTCATTATGCAATAGAACTGTGAGTAAACATGCAACTTTACGAACTGTTTGACTAATTAAGCACAGAAAAGCAGTATTTTAGAGGATGATCTTTGTTTGGACTCTGAAACAACGACTCGAGTGACAATACAGGAATCTGAGTCACTGCAGTGTTTTATAGTTAAATGTAGTTACTGTAAATAGTATAACACTATACAGTATTAGAATTATATCAAAATTATTTTTGTAAAATAAGTTTCATACATGTTTTATGTAGGAATTTTGATGGTTATCAATTGGATATTGATGCTCAGGATTTGCTAATGATCGTTATTGGAGGTCAGAGAAAATATAGACATACAAAGGCATTTACTTATGATATTAGGGAACAGAAATGAGACTTTTTTTAATTGTGGCTGTTTGCACATCTTGCATATTATTCTTTTATAAATGCTCCGTGCAGAAAATCTGTAATGGGTCTGTTTGTCCTACAGAGGGCGCCACTTTCTCAAAAACTCCCAAAAGCGCTTTACTGTGTGAGAGAGATCCAGTACAGATGTGTGTGTGTGAGGGGGCTAAGATGACAGGCGGATTGACTTTCAGACTTCACCTACAGACAAACTTAGACAACCTACAGACACGCACAAATGCACACACAGTCACAGATGGACTCTCACACAGACAGACAGACAAACGTAGACACACACAAATGCACACAATCACAGATAGACTCTCACACACTCTGCAGTGTGTGTCAGCAGTAACGAATTAGCTCGAGGATCGTTACGCTTCTGTCTGCTGAGAGTCGAGCAGAAACGAATCCATCAGCAGCGACGGACTTTTACACCTCCCAGACACACACACACACACACACACACAGACAGACAGACAGACAGACAACACTGTCACATACACACACACATTTGACCCCTTCCCAACAGGGAAAACTAGTAACAGTTAAGAATGCATGTGGCTTTGCAATCAATGAATGTGATTATAATGAAAGTCAAAGGGGCAAAAACAGCCCCCAACATAATGAAAGGGGAGTCAGTCTGAACAGTACAGAAGGGTTAATATACCTGGCTGCCAATGACAGCGGGAGTCTGGCACAGATGGTGGCGCGGACATCCTGAGAGCAGTTATCTAGTCCAGTGATGTAGAAACACTAAACAGACGAGTAGATGTGTGAGTGAATGCTCTGGAGTGCAGTATGAGGGTGAAGACAGCAGAGAAATTTCATTATAAGAGCACCTTCACCATCACTGTCAACCACAGGAGACTGTTTAAGGGGCTGTTCACACCTGCTGCGTTTACTTGGGTTCAAAGGCACCAGATTTTGTTCGGCTTTTTGGTGCAGTCGCAACAAAAGCAGACTAAACAAGCTGGTTCGAGTCCCCGCTGGGCCCGTTGGCATTTACCGATTAAAAGATCTGCTTAGCCGAGGTTAAGCAGGACCACTAGATGGTAGTAAAAATTGACATCAGGTGCACATAACTGTTCGACCACTAGATGGTGTCAAAAAATGGACAACAGATGCACATTGTTATTTTGACCACTAGATGGCAGTAAAAATGGACAACAACTCAACATTTTTTTCTGGACCACTAGGTAGCGGTAAAACATTGGACAGCAGGTGCACATCTTTTTTTGTTCACTAGGTGGTGGTAAAAAAATGAATAGCAGATGCACATCATTATTTTGGCCACTAGATGGCAGTAAATGAATGGACAGCAGTTGCTTGTTGTTATTTTGACCACTAGATGGCAGTAAAAATATACAACAAAAGAACATTATTTTCTGGATCACTAGATGGCGTTAAAGAATGTACAGCAGGTGCGCATCCTTTTCTTGTCCACTAGGTGGTGGTAAAAGAATAGAAAGCAGGTGAACATTATTTTAACCACTAGATGGCAGTAAATAAATGGACAGCAGGTGCACAACATTATTTTGACCACTAGATGCCAGTAAGTAAATGGGCCGCAGTTGCACATCATTATTTTAACCACTAGATGTACAAAACTTGTATGCTTGCAATTACACCTCTGGAGCTGTAATTAGAAATGTAGTTTCTGGCTGTGTTCTATTCCCAGTTATCCCCCCTATGCCCTATTCGTTTAGAACATTCTAGCATTAAAGTCTTCTCTTTTAGGTGTATTTTGCTGTCAGAGTATTTTTACAGTTCAGTTTTAGCGATCTCCATGTTTACAATAGTGTTCCCTTCGCAGTGCACTTTGAAAACATTGATGCCATTTTGAACACAGCCGTGGCTCATGACGAAAGCTATAGGTGACATATTATTTAAACGCGGAATTTATGTTACGTCTCCAAAGCTTGTGAAAACAAAAACATAGCATGCGCTAATGCTTTTAATTTATAGTAGGTTATTTATTAAGTATCTGCATTGTATATGACACAGGCCTGCTGGTTAAAACATTTCTGCTGTGTTTACATCAATGACTGTAAAAAATATGGACGACGCGACAGCCCTTTTTCCCATTGAACGCCTTGAGGGCAAAACGTCTGCTTGACGGGCACAAACTGTCGCAAAAGACTGCTGAAATTGGAGCCAGACATGCGCAGAAGGACTGTCTGATGGAGCCAGAGGAGGAGCCGCGAAAATGAGCAGAGTCGAGCTTCCAATCAAACGCTTTATGTAAAATCAACTACGCCCCCCGAACTTCTCAGCATGCGTTTGCTGTCATATCAACACAAATGGATGTAATAACGTTAACAAATATGAGGGTTTTATATATTCAATCGCGCCAGCTCCAGGCCGCAGCGCATAACTTACTCGCGGCGTCACGGGCTGATTGCGGCTCGCATGCGGCAGCGCCTGCTCGCTCGGCCGCCGCATCTGGCTCGATTGACTCGGGCTGGAATTGGGTAGTGAGTCCAGGCATCCGGAGTAGGTCCAGCAGAGGTAACATTAGTCAGTCTGAGCTCTAAGAGATAAGTCTCCGGCAGGCGAGAATCTAGCCGGAACTGTGTTTTGCTATCTGGGTGGCTAGGCGTGTATCAGCAAACTAATAAAGCCCGAAAAAAGCCCTGAACTTAGCGAATAAACAGTGTTCCACCAGGATCATGTATGTCAGAAACTATAGTTTACTGCTGAACTCATTTTGTCATGGTAAAATAACACAGAAATCGAATAATAACATTTCGGTCTACTTCAGTCTCCTGCCGAAGCTCAGACGCCGCGCTGCTTTGAGAAACTGTCAATCACAGCTGTCAATCACGATGACACGCCCAGCATTAAATTACTGCTAAAAACAAACTGTTTACAAAAATGAAGATCTGCACCTATTTCAGCACAATAACCAGTGCCTTAATCGACCAGAACCATCTTTCGGGACATTTTATTGCAAGTGTAATATTTTTTTTTTATTTGGGCTCAAGTCTCCTTTATTAACACGGAGGAGGCGGGCTTTATGACTTGTACTGCAGCCAGCCCCCAGGGGGCGATCTAACGGCCGAAACCTTCACTCAAACGTAGGCTTGCGGCACACTTGGTTTACATGTGTCACATTGTAAAAGTACACTTTTCAATAAATAAATAAATAAACAAGCAAACAATATCCTACTTAATAATCATAATAATTATCATCATTGATATTATTAAAGTAGGATTTTTTACATTTCCTAATAAATAATGAATATTAAATGTAATTTCTTAATAAATCGCCTCATTATTTATTTATTTATTTATATGATTTATATATGATATTAGCATAGGTGTTTGCTTTTGTAAGTGATGTTATGCTTTAGAATAGAGTATGTAATGTTCTCAATAATATTAGTAAAGGAAACACAGGCTCTGTATGTGCCATTTACATAAATTTCGATTAATATGGAAAGCGAGTGCATGTTTTTACCAGAACTAATATTGGATTTTATTTTAAATATGTGTGTTTGTGTAAAATTTGCACAAAGAAATGACGGGGTTATTCTCTAAAGAAGCTGTTACTCCACCTTGTTCAGAGCATCATTATGGGTGTTTTATGTAATAGTTAACGTGGTTTAAACTAAGAAATCTGGGACAGAGAAACTGTGGGTTTTGGGAAACACTCGTCACTACATCGTTATTTTCCCCAAGCGATGCATTGTACTATTATAGTTCAGCCATGAGTTAAGCCGTTGTTCAGGAAACGCACCCCAGATGTGTGTTCAGTCTTGATGTGAATGTGCCTAATGTTGGAGCA